GGTGATGTGTCCTCTAGGTGTGCAGAGGCCCCTAGGAACGCACTATATTCTGGACTTTGCAACACAAAGGCTAAAAACAGAAGTATATTCACTACTCACAGATAATACAAACAACCCCCCCCCCCCCCCCGCCCCCCCCCCCCCCCCACCATTCCCTAATCTAAATTAGTCCCACCCCTTCCTGTTTAAGACATTTTGCATAACCTGTCAGTTGCGGGATACAGTGCGCACGGTGTATCTAGATTCTGACAGGTTGTGCTATCAACGTAGCGGGATGCTCTAGTTCTACCTTTGCAATAGCCACCTTCTCCATTTCTGGCTTGATGGGCTCCCTAGTTCTGCAGCTACAATAACCACTTTCTCCTGCCCTACCATGCTGTGCTAGTCTCTAGTTTTGCAGCTGCAACACCGATCTTCTGCCTTCATATGCTGGGCCCTCTAATTCTGCAGTCACCCATCTTCTGCCTTGGCCGCTGGGCTCTGTAGCTTGCCCTGCTCTAGAGACATAACCCGGCACGTAGCTTATAGCAGGGCTCAAAATTTCAAGTCCTGAGATACTAGCCAGGCCTTAAAAGTTACTCGCCACCAGTTGCCCCACCTAACCCCTACCCTGCCCCGGACTTAACTCCGCCAGGTCAGTGGTGTGACATAGAGTACGGAGATCAGTAACAACACAGAGTCCAGAGGCCAGCGGTGTGATGCACAGTACTAAGGTCAGCAGTACAGAGCTCAGTAATGTAACTCGGAGTGCAGAGGTCCAGCAGTGTTAAGCTGCCCATACACCTTACAACCATCGCACGACTTTCGTTGTGCGATGGTTGTAAAGTAATTACTATTTTGTACGATCTGCCCATCTTGGACAGGCAGATTGTACTTGTGATCATTGCAAGTCCCCCCCCGCCTAGGGGAGGGCTTGCTGGTGATTGTAATGCTGAGCGGGCACACCGGCCCGTGCTGCTTTCCTCTTCCGAGCATGCCACGAACCCGCTGAAAATCGTACGATTTTGGCAGGTTTTCCAGCTAGCTTGGAAGACGAATGTCGTGCGACGGTACAGTAGATGCGGCCACACGCTGCCCATTATCGTACTTTGCGGGATCACTCGCGATTATGGCACGATAATCGTCAGGTGCATGTGCACCTTTACACAGAAAAAACAGGGACTTACAGTGCACCGTTGATCTGATTCAGGTGCTCTCTTCCTCTCATGGTGGGGGTGTTGGGGGGAGGGTCATCAATGCTGCCTCCATGTAACAAGGTGAAGCCTCCAGCAGCGTAGTTGAGCCTCCTTTCAGGTCCCAGACTGCAGAAATGTACAGAGGTCAGCAGGATGACGCACAGCACAGAGTTCAGTAATGTAACGCACAGTCCAGAGGTCAGCAGTACAGAGGTCAGTAATGTAACGCACAGTACAGAGGTCAGCGGTACAGAGGTCAGTAATGTAACGCACAGTACAGAGGTCAGTAATAAAGCACAGTTCAAAAGTCAGCAGTGTAAGGCAGAAATAATGCACGGTACATAAGTCGGCAATAGCGCACAGTGGAGAGGTCAGCGGTGTAAGGCAGAAATAACACACAGCGATCACCAAGAACGCACAGCGCAGCGGTCAGCGAGAACACACAGCTCAGCGGTCAGCGAGAATTTGTCCGACGTGAAGCCTCCCTTCAGGTCCCGCACTGTCCTGCCATCCAGCCAATCACAGCTCTGCAGTCTTCATCCCAGCCTATGGCAGCTAACGTGGAGATGACGGACAGCCAGCCAGCCAGCTTCTCCCGTCTCTCCTCCTCTTCGGCCGCTGCAGCTATAGAGCGGCCGCAGAGGAGAAGAGAAGGGGGAGAGCTGACCGGGTGATCGCCGCTGCTGAAGCGGCGGCAGATTCCTTTCTCATACTGCCGGCGGCGCCCGCCTCCCCCCGATGAATTTCCACTCGCCAATTGCGAGGGGGCGAGTGGAAATTTTGAGCCCTGGCTTATAGGCTTCACTTCCCCGGACTCACCACCACAGAGGTGCCGATGAGCACGATGACATCTGGATCTCAGCTGGGGTTCTGCGGAAGCTCCTCCGCTGCCTGAAGTCAGAGATTTGGGTGCTGGTTTCCCAGGGAGGTCCGGCGCACGAACTGCCAGTACATCCGGACGAAAGTCACACACACCAATACATTGCACAGCATGTTGACCAGGTAGAGGAAGGAGCTGCAGCCGGCATAGATGTAGGAGTAGGCGACATAGGTGGACACGTTGGTCCCCAAGTCAAAGAAGCACCAGGTCCAGGGGTACTGGCAGTAATTTATTAATAATCTATAATATAATTGTTTTTCTCTTATCTAACTAGTTTGGGGGCAGCATTTTTGGCGCCCCTCTGGAAAGTGCCGCCCTAGGCAAATGCCTAGTTTGCCTTGCAGTAGATACACCCCTGAGTGTGGGAGATGCTTTGCATTGCCATTCATTTCAATGGCATCCCAGATCAAGCACCCGTCATTACCGCCCCCTTTGTCACCCCCTTCTGAACAAGGTCTAAGTGTAAATCTTTTCAGCAGGCTCACATACAATGCAAATCTTCTCCTTCTAGAGTGAATCTGTTTGTGCAGGAAGTCGAACAATATGCTGGCGAAATAAGCAAATATTGTCCTCATACAAGATCCATGTGTATTCTTCTTGAATCTCGGTGAGCTTTGCGTATTTCTTCCAGATCTGTGCAGTAATCCAGTGTGTCACTTGGCGCTTACTGTAATAAAGACCGGTCACTGCTGCTCTCTCTCCGTGTGCAGGGTGACTAGTCTTGTCTCCGCCCCCCTCCTGTAATAAAGACTGGGCACTGCTGCTCTCTCTCCTTGTGAATGTTGACTAGTCTTGTCTCCG